AAGGGAACACAGTCTGATGCACTGTGGCTACAAGCAAATGTTGAGAATCTCTGATGGCCTTGGCAGCCCTCTGTGAGGCCCCTAAAGCCAGCAGGGTTCCAATCACCTCTCCTCACAGCTTGACTGGAATGACGATGCAAATTGTTGTTTACAACATCATGGTTTACTTGCTGCTAGTAATGACAGGTAAATACCCATCTTAGCTGGGAGATGGGAAAAAGAATAAGGGAGAGAAAGAGAGAGTTCAATATTGGGTGTGCTAAGATAAATGCGTGCAACGGAGTGTGCGCACACGCAATCATAGGTGGTCCCTGATCCCTTAGACCTTGGAGTCAAACATTGCTGGCATTCCTGCCTTGAGCCACCCCTTCTCACTCATCTCCATGAGAACTGCTTTGAAATTTTGTGTCTGTTGCTAAAATTCTGGTGGCACATGCTCCAGGCGTTTGCTGACTCAATTGAAATAAGCCTTTGAAAAAAGAATATAGGCTGCTTTCCTGGATCAAGGTCAAATTACTAATAATAGGAAGCTTCCTTCATTTTCCCACTCTAGCCTTGAAAAACAGGGCAAACTCGGCCATCAAAGTTTCATCAAGAGAAGAGGCTTTGTGGTGGGGTCACAGACACTTAATGGAGAAGAGTTAAGTTCCAAGATGCTGTTTCCCTGGCAACCAGAAGGCGATGAAAGAGAGAGATAGGAGATAACTTCTGAAATATGTCATTAAGTGGATCTGCCAAAGCAAAAGCTGACATGAAATCCCCAGATCTTGTCTTTGCAGTATGGCCACCCTTGTCCAAAATGATGCCTTGGGATCCACCCACTTCTTCACCATTCTCCCACTCCTGTCCCCAAAAAGCTGCCAAGCAGAAACAGAGGAGGCCATTTTTTTGGTATCCATATGTCTTGGTTCCTATGATTTTTTTTCTGCTTCCATTCCTAGCCAGCAGGAATTTTGGAATACTGTTGCACCCTGGATGCTATACCAGGTGGTCAGCTAATGGAACTGAGTTTCTACTAGAAGTATTGAAGGCACATGTGGCACCTTAAAGGCTAACAAGTGTCATTGGGCAGAAGCTTTTGAGGACTACAGCCTGCTTTGTCAAATACTGTGAATACTGAATGCCAGCTATAACTTGTCAGTCTTCCAGGTGTTACATGACTCTGATGATTTCCCTCCCACAGACTGACATAATTACTCCTTCCTTGGGGTCATTGTTGGACCAGAGGCAAAACCATATGATGTGTTAAGAGTGGAGAGACTGGCTGCATATTAGGAGGCCACTGTTGAGATACATGAACTGATAACATGTGTTACCATTGGAGGCTGATGATGCAGATGTGTGCAGGTGCAGACATGCTTCACTCTGTCATTTCAGGGTGAGTCCTGCCCCATTCAGCCCCTACACACTATAGGGATCTATATAGATGGACTACATAGAATAGGTAAAAAGTGGATGCAGACCTAGGCATACACAAAACAGTGAACAAAAGACATACCTGGCAGATTGGTCCTGGAGCAAGAAGCCAAAGCAGTGAAAAGCTTGGCACACCTAAATTTTTTGGACTGAACAGTTGGCAGGGAAGGGGAAGCTTTGCTCAAGAAAGAGCCAATTGGCACTTGACTGCTGATGGTCACCAGGTCCATTTGGCTGGTGGATATATCCCATGTTGTTTCCAGGGCTGATTCTGCAGAGTGGTGGCAGAAAGCCACAATCGCTGCTGTGGCTACAGCCTGGGAGGACCTGAACTGTGTGAGCTCCTTGCTGCCTATCAGCTCAGCTGCTCAAGGGATACCTCTCCCCCNCCCCCCCCCCCCCCCCAAGGGAGCTGACTTTGAGGAATTGATTGCTAATGAGGGAACTGCACTCTTGTACTAGGGCTTTTCCAGGGACAGACATGTTTGGAAAATAACTGGCACCTACTGTCTTTCATCACTCTTTATTGTGTAAAAATAAACTCAACAATTCATGTAGTTTCAGCAATAAAATGAAAAAAGAAAGAAAGAAAGAAAAGAAAGAAAGCATGAAGAACCAGTAGAAACAGTGCATTTTTAAGAACTGCTGATGTGGACGGTGAATGTAAAGATAGAACACCAACTCATTCAAAACCCAGTAAAGACTGATAGCAGGAAATAGGAAAAATATACAGCTTTGGTTAACAGAATGATATTTCAAGAAACATTTATCCTATCACACTGTACAATATATACAATTATATCACTATCACCCTTTTAAAAAAATTTTTTTTTGGCAAATCACACGCAATTTGGACTGGATTTATTGATCTTTACATGGTTTTCCCCCTTCATCAGCTTATACTTAACATTCATTATTGGTAGGAAAGTGGTTTCCAATAAAGATCATTAGCAGATTGATCTTTCAAGGTACAATTCCGTTGACTAGTTTTAAAGAGCACTGCCTAAATCGTGCTGCTGTGAGTCAAGATTATAAAGGAAGATATCTGGGTTAGTGTTAATTGTATTCTGATATTTTTTTTCCTGAGCACTCTAGTATTGTGTTTTCACACAGGCAGTCATATGACCCACTTCAGTCTCTAACAAGTAGCAGTCTTCCAATACTACAGCAGCATCAACCTTGAACGGCTTATTACATGCACATCCATGTTGCATATTCATTTGCCACAGCTTTAAAGTTAGCCAAATGGCTCCGTTAAGCCTCATGAGTTTGTCCTTCATCCCTCCCTTTTTGCCCCTAGCTAGGAAAAATTCCTTGGCTGAGATGGGAGAGGGTGGCATAATTGAAAGGGGTGATGGCTGCAAGTCTATTAGTACAAACCACGAAATCTTTTAAAAAAGAAACCGTATAAAACATTATATATTTCAAAATAAGTTTTATCACCCTTTTATCCTTCATCTGTAGCTTAAAAGTATTTTTCAGGGAGTACCCGTTCATTTTCTATATATTCTTTTCTAAGAAAAAATACCTTTCTTGGTAGCAAACTCCTTTTACAGTGTGTTTGTGTGTGTGTGTATGTGTGTGTGTGTGAGAGAGAATGTGTGTGTGTGTGTGTTTACAGTAGCTAAACTTCAAAGGACAGTAAATGCTACTTCAGCTAATATCACAAGGTTGTCCAGCGTCACATTGAAGCTGTGATCCTCAACATGGGCTTTAAAAAGGTTCCATGAAAGTGAACAGCACATACTTTAGAATCACACGTTTAGCATCAGATGGCAGAAATTAACTCACTGACTTGTCTAAACCAGAGAAGGAGCAATTGTGTCCCTTCAGAAAGTGCTGGACTACAACTCCCACCATCCTTTTTACCATTGGTTATGCTGGCAAGGGCTGCTGGGACCTGTAGTTGAACAACAGTTAAAGGTCACACATTTTCCACTCTTGGCTTAAACTGAGGTCACCTTTTTACAGTTCTCAGTAGAACTACATTTGTGACAGCAGCCAGTCGATCACCTCTTTAAGAAGAGGTGTTTGGTGGCTACTAGAGAGTATTTAGGCAAACACACACACACACACCACTTGTTTAGTGCTCCGTTTGTTTTGTTTTATAAAAGGACATTACCTGAGAGAGGCATGTATTACTCAGTGCAAGAGAGGGAACATCAATCGCATTGAACATTAGGGTTGTTTTTGGGTGGATCAGATCTTTGTTCGGTGTTCATGAAAGCAGGCCTGCTGCCGCCAGTAAGCCCAGTGTGGAAGAGATCGCCCATAGTGGTATCAAAGGGGCAATTCCAAGCACATTCACTTTTATAACCATCAGAAGGTCTGATCCAACAGCACAGTGTACATTGGACAGTTGAGGTGCACAAACAGCAGCTCAGGCAGTGACCTGAGAGCTGTGGATTCCCAGGACTTATGCATGGGACACAAGAACTCTGACAGGAACAATTCCCACCAATTTCCTAGTCACCAGAATTTTAACTGGTTCTTTGCCTTTCTCCAGAAAATTACAAAAATAAGTGTAGTGCTGTTTTTTTTTTGGGGGGGGGGACAACGCTGCATCATCAGCCACTTTTCTCCAGCCACACTTGACCACTACAAATGTGCTTGGATGACTTTTGTTTTTGAAGCATGAACTATCGCTCAGCAAACCCCCCACAGTTCTGCAGCAGCCCATGCATGCAGGCAAGCATTAGACCAGGTAAAACACGATTGAGGCACCTACTGAGACATGCAGGGAACAACAGTGCACCCCTTGCTTCCCCTGTAAGCCTGCACAATCTTGGAGGGCACCTCCGCAAACTGGGACAGAATCACTGATAACAATACGGCACTTTGCAACCCATTGCCACTACAAGTGGGAACAAAAGAGGCACTCCCACAGAACCAAAGCACAGTTCCCTCCCCCTTCTCCTGGACCAAGGCCAAGGGCTACACCTTTCCCCTTCTCTAAAAGAGCTGGTGCCTTCCCAGAGGCAAAGCAGTCTCTCTTGGGGACAACAAGAAGAAATGCATGCCATTCGTCACCTGCAAAGGGGTTGTACCACCCATCTGCCCATTTATGTGACCTGTAAGTCATCTCTAGTAGTTTTAAAAATACTGTACAGGGCAGAGCGAAAAGGTGGATGGAGAGGCTATAGCCTCTTCTTAAGGGCCTGGAACTTTAGGGCCAGACCAAGATTTGCTTTCTGTTCAGTTTCTTTACAAGTTTGCTTACAAGCCTCCCTCAGACAATTCCTTATTCCTTTCAGAAAGGAGGAGTTCTTAACCTTTATGAAAGCAAAGCACGCCTCCTGTCCCATTGGGCCCAATAAAGGTGGGGCAGTGCAGGCCCATTATGCCATACAACCTGCCACCTGCAGTGAACCCCATTTGTATTTCAAAGGCAACAATCTCATCTCAGCAGTGATGGCCTTGGATATCAGGCTGCA